GAACGATACTCTTAACTCACAAATATTATTACTTGTACAACGACCCCGTACGCTTGCGGGTTTCACGCGAACAGTACTTCAAACAATCACTCCTTGGGACTGAATGATCCTTCCTTTACCTAAACTACCCCCACGCGTGGCATTTTTACTATGGACGGCGGTAAGAGCAACGGTGGATAATCTCCGTACAAATGATTTTTATGTTACAGAGTGGTGATATATGTGTAACAGGGATGGGGGGAAGATTGATCACTTATTCCTTCATTATGATGCTGCTCGTTTACTGTGGAACGATATTTTGGTGTCACAACACATGGATTGGTGTTACCGAGGCATATGGAGGACATGTTAAAGGCATGGAAGATAAAGTTTAGAGACAAGGATAGCAAACTTGTATGAGACCTTATTCCAGGCTGTATCGTATGGTGTGTGTGGAGGGAAAGAAACAATCGTTGTTTTGAAAACCAATCACGGACAATAGAGGAGATTAGGGAATTGTTTTATTTCATATTGTATACTTGGTTTAATGTTGCGGCTTCTAAGCATATAAATGGGGCTGCCTAATTTCATGTTACTTTCTGATTTAAATTAATAATACACTCTGATTTAAATTAATAATACACTTCATGTGTATTATGCATTGATTAATAAAATACTTAATTACCTTTAAAAAAAAAAATTGCAGTCAAAGGATTCCTCCAAAATTCAAACTTGTGATTTATCTTCTCCTAGCTTCATCAACTAAAACATACCTCATGTTGGATGTGTTGCCCGCCATCCATGAGTAAACCAAAAAGTTACGAACTTGAGACAAAAAGTTTGATGCACATTACGATTATGAAAATCTTTACTGTTATGGCCACTATATTGCATAACTCGTGACTGTTCCATTACACATATCTTTATTGATATATATCTAATAAAGATTCATGTGACAACCCATATTTTAAATTTCAGAATGTAAGAGAAAAAAACTAAATGGGATTTATTTATACATAGAAAACTGAAAATTTCCATTCATAATGATAAGCAAAATTCAAATAATAAAATATTGCCTGTCCAACAACTTTGACTTGAAAGAAACAAGAGTTTAATAGCACTCAATAATATAAAATTATTAAGTTTCGCATCGCAAGCCATCTCCACGAACCTCTAATATTCTGTAGTGGGAAAACATAAAGGATGAAATTAATAATCCCAATAAGTGCGTGCAAGGAATTGAAATTCAAAAAGGGAAATTCATAACATACATTAAAGAGTCATAACAATAATGCTGAACTTAAGTGGTATTAACTCTTGTGTGTATCGTTACTAAACTCTGATCCCCTTATCTTATTCATATAGGATCCATATAAATGATTCCAAAATTTAAAAGAACGAAATATAATTCCAGTAGAATACACACAGCAACACTAAGATAAAGTTGAGGTAGATGCTTCTCCCAATACCTTCCAAACTCAAGGACAAAAATTCGAAGCATATATTCAGACATTTGCATCATCTGTTAAGATTTTTCTGGACGCGAAAAGTTGTAATAAATTTTAGCTTAGTCCCCATTGCTCAGTATAGGCTCTTCCACAAAAAACTATGAACCTTGGGTCACTATCTAATACAATCAAAACAAGCACACCATGCAGTCTTACCACCTCATTTACATACAATTGTGAAAACTTATGCATTGAGAATCTCATGCAAACTAGCAAGAAATGAGCTAACTAAGTTAGTCAATCAACAATTACCTAAATAGCCTAATGACCTCTTATGCACATTGAAAAATCAACAATTAAGTCCATCGTTACGTGTTTTCATTTTCATTCTAGAAAGTACGTCCAACGGTTTGATGCCTAGAAAGTACGTCTCTTATTAGAGCCATTTGGTAAACCATCAATCAAGTTACTGCGAGGTTTGAGCCACGAGGAAGGCTCGGTAAAGTAAAGAATATTAATTGAAAGTTCCAAACACTCATAAATAAAGTGATTCTATTAGTGAAAGAGCAATTGCGTATTCATACAGTTGAAGAAGCTACTTGGGAATGAGAAGTGGAGATACGAGCCAAGTATCTATAACTCTTACACAAATTCCAAGGTAAAATTTTTGAGGATGAACTTTATTCTGGAGGGCTATATGACAAAAGCCCTTATCCCAATGCCAGCTGTTATTTTTTAATTTAGGAACTATCAATAAGTATTTGAAAGTTTGGGAACCTAATTGGTTGTTTACCATAGTTTTTAGGGACCTATTTGCAATTTTTGAAATTATAGGTTTAGGCATTGAAACAGACAAAAGTTAGGATAGAATGAGACACAACAATTAAGCGAACGAGTGAGCTTACTAACAGAGACCAAATTAAAGGACAAGTTAGGTAGACTTAGAACAGATTGCAAAGGAATTGAGGGTATTTGAATAATTGTGCCAGACCCCAAAATATGAGATGTAGACTCATCTGTTAAAGTAAATGCAGAACTAGAAGCATGTGACTGAAACGAAGAGAATAGACTAGAATTACCTGTCACGTGATATGTGGCACTAGAATCAATGACCCATTTGAAAGACGAGGAGACAAGACGTGTTCATTTTACATGAATCAGCGATGACAGTAATAGGAGTAGATGAAGACTTTAGAGATTCCTGATATTGTGAGAACTTGGCATACTCATCTGCAGATATTAGAATAGGCACAGAAGCATCATTAGTAAAAGCAACACAGGCTGACTGGTTCGACTGATTCTAGCACTGTAACTTTCTACAATCTCTTTTCACATGTCCTAACTTTTGACAATAGTGACATACAACACCTCCCGAACCCTGTCCTCGAACATTAAGATTTCGATCGTAGTTACTTGAGTTTCCCCCCTTATTGCCATTTCTAAATGGCTGTCTCCCAGATTCAAATATGCGACTGATAAGAGCACTATTAGATTGAGTAGAAGCTGAATATTCTGTGCAGAGTACCCTACTAGAAACTTCTTCTAAAGAGGATATATCAGGGCTAGACAGAATTTGAGATTTAGCAGTCTCAAACTCAGAAGGAAGACCAGCCAAGAAGCTCATAACCGCCATTTTCTCTCTCTGAGCTTGCTGAACTTTTACATCATTACTGAATGGAAGTAGCATATTAAGCTCCTCATGAGTCTTCTTAAAATCCATAAAGTA